TCACTAGCATCCTCACTCACTCACATATTCACTCACTCACATACTCAATCTTCCACTTGTTCCAAGTCAAGTCATGGGGGCAGCAGCTTGAGCAGGGAGGTCCAGACAGCTCTTTCCACAGCCACCTCTTCCAGCTCTTCTGGAAGGATTCCAAGGGGTTCCCAGGCCAACCGAGAGACACAGTCTCTCCAGCATGTCCTGGGTCTTCTCAGGGGTCTCCTCCCAGTTGGACATGCCCAAAGCACCTCCCTAGGGAGGCACCCAGGGAGCATCCTTACCAGATGCCCAGATCACCTCAACTGGCTCCTCTCGATGTGGAGGAGCAGCAGTTCTACTGAGTCTCTTCTGATAACCGAACTTCTCACTATATCTCTAAGGGGGAGTCCAGCTACCCTGCGGAGGAAACTCATTTCAACTGTCTGTATCCATGATCTCATTCTTTCAGTCACTACCCAGAGTTTGTGGCCAGATGTTGCTAGCTAAGAGTCATCCCAATAAATACTTTTGAGTGCTACACATCGAACAAGCTCTTTTATTTAAAACTTTGGCATTAATTGTTGAGGTCAGCTTTGTCTGACTGGCAAATTATCTCATGAACGCCTGGGTGGATTTTAATGAAACTCATAGAAAGTAATCATTGAAAGATTCTTAAAGATAATTACTTTTTTTTTGTAGTGGACCTGATTCCAGAATTGTCACAACCGATAAACATTAGTCAACTCAAATTCCATAATTCAGTCAATTTTACAGATATTGAGTTGAAATAGGGGTTGTGTGGTACTTGAATGTGCCACCAAAACCACATTCATAACATAAAACATAGCATAAATCAATTTGGTGTCAAATCTGTCATGAAAGGGAGCAGGCAATATGAATTCCTTTAACAACAAGGGGACTTGTTTCCGTGCGTCACAGAAAGCAGATCATCGCCACATCTGGTTACTCATCTTGCAAAACTGTCAGAAAGGCCACATCCTCTGTCATTTACTCAAGTCTTGTTCTGGTTTTGTGCTGCTGCAGCTCCAACACGGTCCTTTCAGCATGAGTGTGTGAGGACGAAGGCCCAGCTGTCCGCCAACCTCCATCAACAGCAAACGGCAAAAAAGAAAACTAAAAATAAAACGCAGGACAAATTGTATGTGTCAAAGAGAAAACACTGAATCATGCTGCAGATGTGTCACTGCATGACCAGCCTCCTTGGTCAGATATTGATGACCACAGTGTCTGTTTAGTAACACCAACCACAAAGAAAACCCTCAGACTTGTAGTTTAAAGAATATTTTTGAACGGGACGAACTTTTGTTCTTTGTAGCAGAAAATGGAATAAAAGGATTGTCTACTACTCGCATGCTTGATAAGACTGGTGCGACTTTGCTTTCAGAAAGAAGGCTGTACGTTGTCTTTCTTGCTACAAATGCTATAAGAGGATATTAGAAAATAATTTTGTAATTTTGTTTGTGTGTGATTTATGTCTGTTAAATTTAGGACTGAATGATAAATCAAAATGTATCCTTGTCTTATCAGTGAGCGCAACATCAACCTCACTGGCCCACGCCTGGTTTAGATGTAAGGAATGACAACAGAGAAAATGAGAAGTGAGGAAAATGTGGGTTTATTGCCATTAATATTGTCATTGAAATATTAAAAACTAACTCGCATCACAAGTTTTTCCTTATATTGTGCATCCCTACAGACCTGAATGATGAAGTGCTAAGATGACAAACGCCTAATTTTACATTTAAATGATACAAATGAGAAACTTTGTTCATGTTTCACATAAGTTAATGATGAAATATGAACTAGTTTATCCATTTGCTACTTCAAAAGATCCAATTGTTAGATCTGATAACTTGTTCAACAGTCTTGTTTTATTTTGCAAATTATTATTATTAGGCATGTTCTTTTACCGTTTTATGCACGATTCATGATTATTAACTCGATCTTTATAGACATTTTAAATAAAAGTTATATAAACTAGTGAATTTTCCAACAGCAGAACAAGCCAAAGGTGTGTTGTTTTGGTGTCCTTTGTGGGTCATCTTATCGTCCATGTTTTCGTGTCCCACAGGGAAGGAGAGCCAGCGACCCATAGCACATGAATGTTTGGGAGAGGTGCTGCGGGTTCTGCGTCAGGTCATCAACACCTACCCTCTGCTCAACACTGTGGAGATCCTCACGGCTGCTGGAAAACTCATATCTAAGGTCAAAGGTCGGTCATTTCTGGAAAGGAGCTTTTTAGCCTTTAAAAGTTACAGTAAACAAAAAACACAGGAGATTTTGAGGCTCCGGCGTGTCCTCTGTTCAGGTTTCCACTACGAGGCGTGCAATGAGACGGACAAGAAGGACTTCGAGAAGGCCATCGAAACCATCGCTGTTGCTTTTAGTAGCAAGTAAGTATCTGAGCCACCCTCACATCCCGTAGTTTTATTTACAGGCTGTCTGAGCTCATGTAGTTACTGAGCCGCGGCGTTCAAACGGGTGACATGCAGCTCGTCACATCCAGTCAGATGGTGTTCCTGTTGCTGAGAGACGCACATTTGCATGTGACAAAGCTGAAAACAGGAAGTGGTTTTTCATCTACAATCGCTAAACCAAAACTTGAAAATTCAGTTGAGTACCTGCCATGAATTAAATAAACAGTTTCTACTGAATACTGTAAGAACACTGGATCTGAGATGTGGAGAGAGAGAAAGAGAAAAATGATGGAGGACAATAAAAATAAATTTTTGCAAATTCTCAGTTCATAAACTTTAAGCTTTTTTTTCTTAATCACTTGAACCTCTTATGATAAATCTGTAAGGACAGTCTGTTATTGAATTTAATGTTTTTTTTATTTTAATTTTAATTGCAGCAACACTTTCTGCCATGTTTGTGTTAAAACTGTCAGTTTTAGGAGGAAGTGAGCTGACAGACAGTTGAATCTGCCTGACGAGTCTGTTTCCTTATTCCCCTCCCACTCTTCCTCTAACTCATGTTTCTGTCATCAAGGGAACACCAAGAAGAACCCACCTTCATTGTTTAGCTTTTTAATGAAATTACCAAATTTAATAAGAAAACTGATTGAACTTAAAAAAGTCACATAGTTTCAAAATGTTCTTGATCACTTCCTGTATCCTGTGTACCTGTGTAGGTTTCACACGAGGCTCAAACCTCTTCCTCTTTTAAAATAAAAAAAATGTTAAAACGTGCTTCTTTTTCACAAACCGTGCAGCTGCTAAATGATGTCTGTGCTGTTTCCCCTCAGTGTGTCTGAACTGTTGATGGGAGAAGTGGACAGCAGCACCCTGCTCTCTCTGCTGCCCACGGAGAAGAGCAGAGTGAGTTAAAAACCCAGCAGACATCATTTTAAAAAAGTGTCAACATGTTTAAAAGTCTTCCCATGCATAAAGGGATCTTCACTCCTAAATGTGTGTAATGAATCATTTCTGCACTTCAGTCAATGGAGAACCTCTACGCTGCGACGGGTCAGGGAGCAGAAGGAGGACACTTCCGGAGCGACCTGCAGGACGTGGGTATGCAACAACAATGATGTCTCTTTTCAAGTTGTTGCCTCTGCGTTTCAGAAGTGTTCATTTGACACAGCTGCATTTTTGGTCCATGACCTTTTCTTCAGTAAAGAGTTGAAACAACTAGTAAATAAATTGCAGAAATTTATAGATTTTACAGTTTACAGCAAACAGTGGACTGCAGGTCTCTCTTGTGAGTACCCGAGGCTCAATGGGATTAACCTGTATAAATAAAGGTTGAATGAATGAATGGATATCTCCCTCTGCTGACATAACAAAGTTCACTGATACTTTTCTACGTTAATTACCTATAATGGTCAGTCACATTGAAAACGAATAATTTAAAAAATAATTGGTAATTAGCTTTATCCTGATGCATGCTCAATAATCCAGATAGAAAAATGCAATTAGAACTTTTTCGATCCTGCAGGAAATTGTGGTGCCAGAGTTTCACTAAAAAGGACCAAGGAATCACACAAAATATAAAAAAAAATAAAAAATAAAAATAACAATATAAAAAATAACAGAGAATATAAAAATACCAGCAATTAAGTTCTAAAACAGGTCAGGTGCAGATGGAAACATTAAAGTGTTTAATGTGGTGCAGGATTAATTTTATTGTTCTATGTGTAGACAGGGGTAGGTGTTGAAAAGTTTGATGGCCACAGAGAGGAAGGAAGAATGGAAAGTCTAGCAGTTAAGTCAGGTCCTCTGGATGGATTAAAAAAATAGGATGATATGATGATCATAGATGTCTGATCAGTCATACATCGGGGAAACTAAACAGCCACTGGCCCAAAGGATGGCCCAGCACAGAAGATCAACTCCATCCACCCTCTGAGAACAGCAAGCAGCCATCGGGGCACTAACGGTCAGTCATTAAGCTGATGGTCTTTTATCATGTGACCAGCTAGTTTTGGCTGTCAGCATCAAACTGGTTGATCCACTATGAGAAGGTGCCATTTATAAGACTGGGTTTAATGCAGCTCCTCTGACTGAAGAAGTCTTTTGGATAAAACATGAAACGTTTAAACAAGTTTGTTTTATATTTTTATTTTTTAATCCATCCAGAAGCCCCGACTTAGCTTTGTTAGGTAATGAACTTTACACACATTAGTGCTGAATAGTGCTTAAACGTACAAATAAAGGTGCGTGTTCCCAAAATTCAAATAGTTTTGTTGTGCCCTTTACCCACTTGACAAGTCGGTCGACAACAGCAGTTTGTTACCACAGAGAAGTTTGTTCCTGTATTGTGATGAGCGTTGATGTGTCGATGCGTAGGCAGAGTTGAGGAAGTGGATGTGATCCTGCAGCGCAGCGAGGGTGGGGTGGACTCGGCTCTGCTCTATGCCAAGACCATTTCCAAATACATGAAGGACCTGATGGGTTACGTGGAAAAGAGAACTTCACTGGGTGAGTGGAAGTGCCAAAGGTTTAGGTTATTAGTGGGTAAATGTGTCAAATAGAAAATCTAAAAATGAATTTCAGTTCTTTTTTTTTTTTTGTATGCATTGATGCTAAAAACTTTGTTTGACAGAGACCGAGTTTTCCAAAGGACTTCAGAAACTGTATCAGTCCAGCAAACATAGCATAACACATGTAAATATCAATCATCCTAAAACAAATAATTCAATCTCTGCCATACATTCTTCTGAAATTAAATAAAAACCTTACTGCTTGTTCTGTTCAGCCCCATATGCCCCTGTTCTCCATCTACTCCCTGGCTCTGGAGCAGGATCAGGAGCAGAGTGTGGGTCTGCAGCAGGCGAGCACCACCCTGCACACCCAGACCTTCATCCAGGTACCACCAGCACAAACTTGGCCTCTTTCAGCGCCGCAGCTTTGATTTTTAACCTTACACGTGACCGTGCTTGCACAGCCTCTGATGCAGCGCAAGCAGGAGCATGAGAAGAGGCGGAAGGAGATCAAGGAGCTGTGGATTCGAGCCAAGAGAAAACTGGTGTGACCTCTGATCATTTCCATATTGGAGTTAGTTTTCTTCCAACAGTAAGGTGTGAAAATGTGCGTTTGTTCTGGCGCTTCAGATGGAGTGTGAGACGAACCTGCGAAAAGCCAAGCAAATTTACATGGCCCGCTGCGAGGAGTACGAGAAGGCTAAAACGGCAGCCTGCCGAGCCGAAGAGGAGGGAGGTGGCTCAACAGCAAAGTCTCTGGAGAAGAAAAAACGAGTGGAAGAAGAAGCTCACAACAAGGTTTCAATAAGTTTATTTCACTGGACTGTTTGATGGTCTTACGTTTGCACCAGTAAAAAGTTATACTGTGGGCTACCTAATATGAGATGTGCACTGAAAAGAACTGAACGTCAACGTGTGTGCTCACAGGCAGACGAGGCGGAGGCCACCTACCGTACCTGTATAGCAGATGCCACCACTCAGCAGCTGGAGCTGGAGCACACGAAGGTCACAGTGCTGAGGCAGCTGCAGGATGTCATCAAACAGAGCGATCAGACGCTCCGCTCGGTCAGAACAAACGCAACAAACCCCGTCTCGTAGATGGATTATGATCGTCTAAGTGAAAAAGAGCATCCTCCTACTTTGAATTTTAGAGTTTTACATATCAGAACAGAATAAAACTAATCTGATCTTTACTAAGTACTACCTATTGAAATCTAATGTTCAATGTAAACACACACACACACACCAGATTCCACGATGTCATTATTAAGAAAAATAGCCCAAAGGGAAAATGTGGGTGTGGAAAACCTTTTCTCTGCTTCTATAAGATTTCTGAGGAGAAAGTAGCATCCAGGTGCTGCTGATCAAACATATTTATTGACTGTTAATATAATTGATCCAAAATGCTGCTGCCAGAGTCTTAACTGGGGTTGGTAGGAGAGATCATATCTCTCCAGTTTTAGCTTCTCTCCACTGGCTCCCTGTCAAATTCAGAATTTAATTCAAACTCTTACTTCTAACCTACAAAGCTCTCAACAACCTAGCTCCATCTTATATTACAGGTCTTATTGTTTCATATTTTCCTAACGGAGCACTTCGCTCTCATACTGCAGTCTTATTCATGGTTCCTAGAGTTTCCAAAAATAGAATGGGAGGAAGATCTTCCAGTTTTCAGGCTCCTCTCTTGTGGACCTAAAGCTGACACATTGTCCAGTTTTAAGACTTTCCTTTTTGATAAATCCTATAGTTAAGGTTGGCGTATGCTACCATAGGCTTAGACTACTGGAGGACAAATTGACCTCATTTCTTAAAATGAATTGTAAAAATTGAATAGTTTGCGTTTGATATTTCTATCTTAACATGTGATTCTTCACCTGCCATTGTGTATCTGTTCCTCTCAAACCCAGCTGGTCGAAGCAGATGGCCGCTTGTCCTGAGCCTGGCTCTGCTAAAGGTTTCTTTCTCATGAGGGAGTTTTTCCTTTCCACTGTTGCCTCTGCGCTTGCTCAAGATGAGAGTTCTGTGATGAGTTAAACTCAAAGCAGTCTGCTCCTCAGATTAATGGTGTTAACTTACTTTTTATATATATATATATATATGAATGTTTCTGTTCAGTGCCCTGAGATGATTCTGTTGTAACTTGGCCACTATAGAAATGAACTAAACTGAAATGAATTGACTGATTGTCATCAGTCTGATCACCTTCTCTACAAACAGAGGTTTTGTCCGTTTGCTGCTCTGAAACCTACAGGTGTGTGTAACAACACTGAGCAGTAAATGACCTTAGAAAAACAATCTTAGAGGGGTTAAAGTTTATTTCCAAACAATTTGGAGTCCATCAATCGGCAGCGGAAAAGATTATTCCGAAGTAGAAAACATTTCAAACAGCTGCCAATCCTCCCATGAGTGGAGGTTGCAGCTAATTCACCCCAAGGTCAGACCGTGCAGTGCTTGGAGAAATGCTAGTAAACGGAAGAGCGCTGCTTCAGACTATACCGGCCTCAGTTAGCAGGATAAAGTTCACGACAGGGTAAACAAAGACTCAAGTTTGCCTTGTGTGGAACGGTTGCAAGGAAAAAACCTGTCAACAAATAAAAGATAATGGCAGCATGACTCGGCACAAACATCCTGCCAACTGTCAACCCCAAACCTCACCAACCTCTGAGCTGAAGCAACAATGTAAAGAAAGGAGAGCTGCAATTAATCCACAACCATCAGAGACTGACGGTCACACAGAAAATAAATACTTTTAAGTTACTGCTGCTGGAGTTGGTTCTACAAGATCATGGGGTAGACTTAGTGTTTTTTTACATAGCATTTCCATTTTGGCTTTGTTTTTATTTTATTTAATAAATAATAATAATAATACTTTGTTTATAAAGCCCTTTAAAACAACCACAGCTGCAACAAAGTGCTGTACACATAAAATTGACATGGTGAAATTGGCTTTTGTAGAAGTTTGAACTGACTAATTAGAGATTTTATGTTCTGATACCATTCAAACGCTTAGTACAGTTGTGGAAAAAATGTTTTTCCTGTTTTCAATTCTTTGTGCTACAATTACATGTATTTGTCAACCTTTCTCCTCTAGGCGACCATCTCCTACTATCAGCTCATGCACATGCAGACGGTCGCCTTGCCGGTCCACTACCAGACTCTGTGTGAGAGCAGCAAACTGTACGACCCCGGCCATCAGTATGCTGCCCACGTACGAGACCTTCAGCTCCCCGAGCAGCCTGGCATCCACTACATGTTTGAGGCATACTCCCCCTCCAGCTCATCACAGTAAGAAACTCCGTCAGTCACAGTAAAGCTTCATATTTTAGCTGACATTAGTACCAAGTGTTAAGCCAAGATAAGAACATGTTGGTGCTGAACTCAAATGTCAGCACAGTAGCACTAAAGTAAATGTCCAGAGTTGTAACATACCGTCATTTCCAGACTATATAGCGCACTTGAATATAAGCTGCGCTTGTGTATAAGCCATGTGTGTGTCCACATTGTAACATGAGATATTTACACAAAGATTTTTAAAACTTTTACTTAAATACATACCAGTAATGTACACAAATATACATACAGTAAATGTGTTTTTTTTTAACAGTGCCTGTAACACAGGTGGTTAAAAATAAAAACATACAGAAGCCTACGGTCACGGATCACAATGTTCGTCTTCCTCCTGTGCACCAAAACCACTGAAGTCGTCTTCAGTGTCAGAATTGAACAGCCTCAGAATGACTTCGTCACACACGTCTTCAGTCTCTTTCGTTGCCGCTTTCAACGTCATTTTCGTCTTGAGGCAAATTTGCGATTTGATTTACGATTCACTTATTCTGAGTGGTTGTAATATTTCGTTGTGTACAACGAGGGGGGAAACTCCCACAGGGAGGGGAGGAGAGAACGAGGAGGAAAAGTTTCCTACCCTCCAGAGTGGACCAGTGAAACCAAGTTTCATTTCATTTTATCGCTGTGGTCAGTAATTCCATTGGTCAGCTTTTTTTTTACTTTATTTATACAGGTCGAATCACAAGGACCCACCCCGCAAGAGAGAAGTGAATTGGGCAGCTATGTGAGCATCCAGGTGTTTGACGAAGCTAAATGTTTTGGCGGCATGAAGCTCGTTAGCCCATCAAAAAATAAAATAAAATAAAATAGCCGCAGCATTGTATAAGCCGCGGGGTTCAAACCATGTGAAAAATGTAGCGGCTTATAGTCCGAAAATTACGGTATTTGTGCAACAATCCTAAACTGAGCTTACAGCTCTGAATACATTAACTGTTCTGTGTGCAGACACGGCTACAGACCCAGAAATGATAGCTTCAATACCGACACAAGTCAAACGGACTGTCCTGCCATCAGTACGGATTCATCGGCTGCAGATTCAGAGGCTCACCGCAAACGTAAGTGGCGCCTCGCGTGGCCTGACAGAGCTGTGCTTTTGCAAAGAAAATAGTTGATTCGTGTTGTTTTTACTTAGAGCTTTTAAGCATAAATTGTATTTTTTTGTGGTTGCTCTCATTCTTTGTTGTTTATCCAGGACAAGGGCACAAGTCATGGGGTTCAACGGTGAGTAACGACAGTGTTGGAGGAGAGGGAGGCCTGGATTTTCCCTCCACCAGCACAGGTGAGTCGTGGACAATACAGTTACTAACATAAAATTTCATCTGCTTTTCCAAACCAAAGTGTGAGAAGCCCTTGTTAATATGCATGTAATGTTCTGTTGTAGGTGACATCCCTAAAATTGCTCGAACGTCATCAACTGGAACAATGTCGTCTGACGAGGAAGCCGATGAGAAAGATGGAAACGTGGCTTCGTTTGAAACTCCAAGTAAATTTCAGTGATTTTCCTGTTTGTGTAGCCACTTTGTGTTCTCCTGGATCATGTATGACAAGAGGCCGTTCTGTGCAGATATTAACGGCATGGATCCAGACGTGGTTGTTTCTGCCAGACCATTCCGAAACATTGGCTTGTCCAAAGCGGCTCAGACACACCGGCTGAGGAAACTACGAACTCCCGCCAAATGCCGTGAATGTGACAGCTATGTTTACTTCCAAGGAGCTGAGTGCGAGGAGGTGAGTGTCTTGATCAGGACAAATATCTAACCAAATAACCCTCACTATCTTTTTCTATGTTCTGAGGGGAAATAACAATTAGACATTTTTAGTGGAGCAACA